CCCCTCAGTGAGTTGCGACAATTTTCCTTTCAACTCGGTGTTCTCACTAACGAGCAGAGCTACCTGCTCCTGGCTAAACTCCAGTGAAACCTTCAGGGCCTGGAATTCTTTATGCAGCACCTCCACTAAAGCTAACCGGCTATCTAAACTGCTTAGCTTTTGATTGATAGACTCCAGTATGTCCTTAAAGCCTGTTGTTTCTGGAGACATATTTGAAAAATCGTCTGAGCTTGCCGAGCGATTCCTCTTTGATGTTGGTGTGCCAATTGACATGCTAGCTGCGCCGCCGGAGATATGCTTGGGTTTGCCCATTACTATTTTTTCAAAATACTCGTCAATGAAAAACTCTAGACTCTCCACAGTTTCTCACTCCAGTTTGTTATAATGAAAAGTCAATTAATAACAATTATGACATTATAGTTTATAAATGCCTTAAACGTATTAAATTATATAGTATATTCACCTGAGAACCCTAAGACCCCTTATGATGATGTTAAACTTTGGATTTAGCGTTCCCTCACCCGGACGCGGGTCACCGGGGCCCCCCTCTGGAGCCAGGCCTGGAGGTGGGGCACTATGGCGAGCGACTGGTGGCCGGGCTTTCACCCACGGAGCCCGGCCAGGCTCAGCCCGAAGAGGAGATGTGGGTCCCCCTTCCAACGGACTCACCACCTGTGAGAGGGGCCAAAGGGGTCGGGTGCTGTGTGAAATGGGCGGCGGCCGAAGGAGGGGAMCCTGGCGGTCTGATCCTCGGCTACAGAAGCTGGCTCTTGGGACGTGGAACGTCACTTCTCTGGTGGGGAAGGAGCCGGAGCTAGTGTGTGAGGCAGAGAGGTTTCGGCTAGAAATAGTCGGCCTCACCTCGACRCATGGCTCTGGTTCTGGAACCAGTCTCCTTGAGAGGGGCTGGACGTACTTCCACTCTGGAGTTGCCTACAGTGAGAGGCGCCGGGCAGGAGTGGGCATACTTGTTAACCGAAATCTTGGTGCCTGTACGTTGGGGTTTACCCCGGTGAACAAGAGGGTAGCCTCCCTCCGCCTAAGGGTGGGGGGACGGGTTCTGACTGTTGTCTGTGCTTACGGGCCGAACAACAGTTCAGATTACCCACCCTTCTTGGAGTCCTTAGAGGGGGTACTGGAGAGTGCCCCTCCTGGGGACTCCCTTGTTCTGCTGGGGGACTTCAACGCTCACGTCAGCAATGACAGTGAGACCTGGAGGGGCGTGGTTGGGAGGAACGGCCCCCCCGATCTGAACTCGAGTGGTGTCCTGTTGTTGGACTTCTGTGCTCGTCACGGATTGTCCATCACGAACACCATGTTCAGGCATAAGGGTGTCCATATGTGCACTTGGCACCAGAACACCCTAGGCCACAGTTCGATGATCGATTTTGTCATCGTTTCATCAGATCTGCGGCCGTATGTCTTGGACACTCGGGTGAAGAGAGGGGCGGAGCTGTCAACTGACCACTACCTGGTGGTGAGTTGGCTCCGGTGGTGGGGGAGGAAGCCGGTCAGACCTGGCAGATCCAAACGTATAGTGAGGGTCTGCTGGGAACATCCCCCTATTTAAAAAGGGGGACCGCAGAGTGTGTTTCAACTATAGGGGGATCACACTTCTGAGCCTCCCTGGTAAGGTCTAT